GAGAGAGAGAGAGAGAGAGAGAGAGAGAGAGAGAGAGAGAGAGAGAGATATTCTTCGATCTAGAAAAACTTACATTTATAACAGTAACCATCTCAGATTTTCTTTCTAAAACTTCCATCTGCAATTCTGTTTTCTTCTCTAAAATAATTTTTTGTGAATACTTATTAATATTCATTGTGAATGTACTCTTTTTTTGTGAATATACTCATAAATTTAGAAATTATCTTATTATACTGTAAATTTGTGATTATTTTTATTCTGTTTTGTAATAATATATAATATTCTATATATTATAATATAATAATAATAATAATTGGTATAATAGATTTAAGGAAAGGGCCGAGGGCCCACTGTCTCCCCTCTTTTGGCTACGCCCATAAAACGTAGTAAATGTCGTGAAAATATTTATTCATATTTATCATAAATATTTTGTGTTGTCTGAGGTATAATTATATTATATATGTATTATGATTCCAGAAAAATTAAAAAATTTTTTTGAAAAACGTATTTTTATAGAAATATAAATACATATAAAAAATTTCAAAGCTGTAATTATTAAAATATGTATAAAATGTAACAAATAGTATAAAAAAGTAATTTAAAGAATTTAATATAAAATTAAAAGCGTAAATATTTTAAACAATTAATAGTTTCTGCTCTATTTACTTAGATAAATAAGACATTGTATTTTCCTCCAGGCATTGAATTACAAGAATTTTTCATATTTTGCAGGATGTATTGGGTGTTTCTGGGATTGCTTGGTTCCGCCGTTGCGGCGCAGAATTCTTATGACTTAGAAACCAGAGCTGTTTCGTTTCCCGGAAAGCCAAGTAGCTTAGGACCACTTTACTCGCCTGGCTTAAGTTCGGCCCAGGGATTCCGTGATAACAGTTACGAGGATAACGCAGTGACTCCCACGCCGTCGCCGACGCCAATCTATAGGAATTCTAATCAACAACCGGTGAGTTTAGAAATTATATGCATTTATCTACGCATTATATATATATATATATATGTTTTATTTTTATTAAATACTTTATATTAAATTGTATGCATGTATTGCAGTTGTATCGCAAACCAACGGCGACACCGATAGACACTCGCGATTATACTCAGGCCATCCGCGTTGGTTCTTCATCGCGTGCTTCCATTCGAGGTCCGCAGTCCCAATTCGGTCCCGACGGACCCACTAAGGAAGAGCTCGAGGAAGAGAAGGAGGAACCTGATCGTCTTAGCCTTCTTCTACCCCAAAGCAGATTCGACTGTGTCAATAAGCAAACTGGCTACTACGCTGACGAAGACCTCAACTGCGAGGTCTTCCATTACTGTCAAGACAACGCCAAGCACTCGTGGATCTGTCCCGAAGGCTTCACTTTCCACCAGGTCAGTGGACCAACTACAAATGTCCTTTCTTATTCTTTATTGATTGCTGTTTTTTCTATTAAAAGAAAATATAATTTATTAAGACCCCCAATTTCACACTCTACTCTTGAACCGAAGTTCAATTCATTTTTTATTTCTTTCCAATTTTATAATTATAAAAAGATAAGGAATAAGTTAAACCTCGGTTAAGAATTAAGTTGTGAAACTGGGCCTAAGAAAAATATCGCTTCGGTGACGAGTTTAACGAAACTAAAACATATTTTACTTCGTCACTGTATCAGGTACATCTAATCTGCATGCCACCCAGCGGTGACATCAGTTGTCAGAAGAGCTCGCAGTATCATTTCGTCAATGAGTACTTGTATAAACCTCTGAATCTCCAAGAAGCCGAGACCAAGCCCAACGTCACTTTAAGATACAGCGAGAGGTATTATCCCTCTGATATTTACACGGATGAAAGGGAAGTTGGTGATTACCAAATCACCCCTACACCCGCCCCAGTGCGTCGTCCTGCACCGCAGGTGTGTTTACTATCTTTGAATTACGATGATTACTTTAATAATCACAATTAAAAGCTCTGTAAAATAGAAGCCATGATGTCTCTAATTTTATAATCTTAAAAAATCTGAGTTTTAAGTAGATAATTTAGTATATACTACAAAGTTTAAAATTTTTTATATTTTCGCATTTTTCTTTTATTTAATTTTTACATAAAAAAATTTTTCTAATAATAAAGTTTTAAAATTTTGTTATTTTATCCGCTGCTTCTATTTATTTATAGTGAATGTGAAATAAATTATATAATCTTGTTTCAATCGACTGTATTGACTGTATTGACACGTTAACGGTTAGGTCTTGTACAGGTCCTTGTGAGTCCACAGCCAAGTTTGAACAGCATCCCTACGTCGGTCCGTCCACTGCCTACAGAACTCCCACAGTATCGTCTCCCGATAAATCAGGTATTCCGCAGCCCCGAAGAAGTTAACATCCCCCTTCAGCACAGACGACCGCAACAGCAACAGCACCAGGTTCTCAGACGGTTTCCTCAAGTTCAAGTCCGACCCGATGAAGAGGATTATGAATAGATTCTTAGATCCATGAATTCTTCAGTTTACTTAAAAATTATTCCGTCTCTTCCTCAATTGAATATTCATTTTGCGAAACCAATCAAGCATCGCATTTGACATGCCAAAATTTGTTTCTTAAATAATTAATGAATTTTTATATGTTATTATATTTATATATTATATATAACAATTTATATATAATTTTAAAAAATAACGAGAAAAATTAGCTACGAAAGAGACAATTTTCTAATATTTACGTTTAAAAGTTATTAATGTTGATTTGCGTATACAGTGACAAATTTATCAAAAGTTCTTTATCTTGCAAATTCTCATTCTGCAAAATTCTTTTAGCAACATCTGTAATCAATAAAAATTAGTATTAAGAGACAAGAATAAATCTTGTTAAAATATGCGCCAATAATTAGCATGTCCTGTTTTTTAATGTTTATATAAGGCCGATGCAAAGATAATTTAATTTGCGGTGCAATTATTCTGTGAAAATAATTTAATTATTGTAAATAAACCGTCAATAATAATTATATAAATAATATGCTAAATTTACCTCTATTTATAGTGTAAACTGACTTTAAAAATTCATAAGAGAGAGAGAGAGAGAGAGAGGATGACCAATAAACGTTGTGTTATTTTTAATTGCATCTGTATTTTCTATATGGATTTCATGTTTTATTTATCTCATTTAAGATATATGATTGTATTAGGCGCCATATAATCAGTATTCTATAATCAGTCTTGATTTGCAAACTATTTCCAGTTGAGATTGTAAGTCGTACCTATATGTATATGTATTGCAATGATTTAAGTCAATATAATTTATATATAAAAAAGTAGAAAGAATGATGTTTCTTGTTTCAGTCATAATTTCGTTATAAATAATTTTAGAATTATAAGAACGATTTACTATACGAATTTTTCATGTTTCTCGCCATTTAATATTGCACTTATATTTCTCTGGTAAAAAAATGGTTATATTAAAAAAAATTTTTTTAATTTTTGAAGATATCTAAAAAAAGGCTAATTTTTTTAGATTTTATAAATTTTCAAAAACAATAGAATGAGAAATCTTAAAAATTTTAGAATATTTCAGAATAAAAATTCTAAAAAAGGTGTATAGACTTTCTTCTGAAAAGTGTTTTAATTCGTATAAAAATCTAAGAAATTTAAAAATGTTATATAAAATTGTACAGACATTCTGAAATATTTTAAAATTTATATAAAATTTTTTTTAAATTATAAAAAAGTTCTAAGAAAAGTTTTCATCCAAATTGCGGCTGAATTTTTTTTAATTCTGACCGTAATATTCAAATGAACCGATTTGTATAAGATCAGCATTGCTTTAGTGTCTCCGCAATTCTGCGTCTCCAATGCATATCACTTTGCTTCTTTCCGCAACTATTTTGAGAATCCTGTGGCAGTGTATTATTCGTTGTTATATCCGAACTACTATTATTCGTTGAGTTTACTTTCGTACATTCTTTCGACTGTATAGTATGCTTTTTAATCGTAGAGACGCAGTTAGATTCTTGGACAGAAATAGTGTCAGGATTCTCGTGATCCATAAAATTCCTTCTTTTTTCAGAATGTCTTTCATCTTCGTTTTCATCCTGATCCTCTTCTTCGCATCCTGTAACTCCCTCGTTGTAGACGTCAGCCGTGGAATCTCTCTGATCCATTGTTACTCTTGGAAAAAGTGTCTCAGTTTGTGAGGATGCAGAATTGTGATTTTCTTGCGATGCTGGTTTATTGTTAGGATACGAATTCACCTTGGAGTTTCTGTCTTTAAGGTAGTTACGCACAAAGTAATTGTGGCTGTTGGCACTTTGTGGATACAACTTCTCCTCGATCCGACAGTTAAGCACCACTGCTTCAGCAATCGGAATCGGTTCTGTGTATGTAAATATCTTCCTGTCGGTTCTATCCTCGAGCCGTCTGATATTAATGGGTCCATTGATCACTGGTACTGCATTACTCACTTCATTAGTAGCTCTTATTACAGGCGTGATATTGCCCATGGAGTCAAGCCGTGAGTTGATCTGATCATCAGAGCTCACGGGTGTCGTGTTTATTTTACCGGTGTTCTTCGACTGTGTCTTCTTCGACTTCTGTTTCTGTCGTTGTTGATTATTCTTTGCTGAACAGGACGGGTCTACTTCAACGACTGGCGTTTTGCTCACCTCGCAATTATCCTCGGTATGATGGTGCCTGATGTGTCGATTCAAGTTGTCCTTACGTCTAAACAGGGTCTGGCAGTATTCGCAGGAAAATGGTTTCTCGTCTGGAAAAAACGAGCGAATTCCAGATAATAAATCGTCGTCATATAAAAATAGTGTGATATTTGACGCACCTGAATGCACAGTTAAGTGCCGTCTCAATTCGCTCTTTGACAAGAAAACTTTATTACAGTGAGCGCAAGAGAATGGCCTTTCTTTCCCATGAGTCCGTTTATGCCGTATTAACAAAGATTTTTCTTTGAAACTTTTGTTGCACTGATCACACCTGTGCGGCCGTTCGTCTGTAGTAACAATAATTAATTCATTATCATTACTTTTTTTAAAATCGAAAAGATGTGATAAATAATTTTATGTCATAATAATTATTTTATAGTTAATTTCAAAAACAAAATTTCTGCTTAAACTTAGATAAAATTCATTAGAATAGAAAAAACTTTTCTAATATTTACTTGTATGTGTTTGCATGTGGCGTTTCAGATTAGTTAATATGCAGAAAGACTTGTCACAGGACTTGCATTTATATATAGCCGTTGAATTGTGTATGCTTAAATGATTTTTTAAATCATCCTTTTTACTATACCGTTTATTACATTCGGAACATGGAAATTGCTTCTCCTCTATAACATGTAATTACAGTTATACAAATTCATTGAGTAGTTTGTATATTATTATTATCTTGAATAACTATATTTTATTTGTAATAGAATCATTAATAAAGTTTTATTTTTATTTATTTTCTGTAATAAATATTTGAAAATTAATGATAGACATCTTTTTTTAAATGATAGACATTTTTTTTGGAACATTAAAAAAATTTTTTTTCAACAGCAAATAATGTATAAAAATAGATGATTTTGTTGAAAAAAAGACTGATATTTATTTTAAGAATTTACTTAAAAATAATTTTTCTGTCTTCGTCGACTTAACAAATTAAACAATTCTATGAAATTAATTTTTCGAAAAAATGATTATTTAAGATAATATTGAAAGAATGTTAATAAATCATCCTGTATATCATGTTCTTGCAATTAAAAAAAAATACTTAATAATAATCTCTATGTAGAGTACTACAACAATATTAATTTTCATGCCTGTTATTTATTAATTTATTAATATTAACATACTGTAACTAATTGGATAATTCTAAAGTACACTTACTGCTATGAGAAAACATATGTCTATTGAGCTTATTCTGCTGAGGGAAAGCCTTGTCACAGAGGTTGCACTTGTATGGCTTATACCCTCTATGGACTCTCTCATGATACTCGAAATGAGAGCGTTTAACGAAGCTCTTGTCGCATAAGGTACATTGATAAGGCTTGATACCTGTTACACAGGCATCATGATAGCATTTGCCCTTCTTGTTGCGAAAGATCTTACCACATACATTACACTTATATCTTTCTGGAGTGCCCGGCAGTATTGTTATATGACTACGATTATTACGTTTAACATTTTTGTTTTTCTCCACAACCATTTCCTCACTATTTTTCAGTTTTGACTGATCGTCCTGTAAACAAGAAAAAATATGATCCATCAGCTTATGCTATAAACAATTGCCACTCTGTTCTTCTAATAGTTTTTCCAATAACTATTAGAAAAACACAATAATTAATGGATTTATAAAATTTTTATATAAATGAATTATATAATTATATAAAAATTAGATCGGTATCTACATTTTTTACATGTTGATTTTGCAGATTCTGCGAATTATGATCGTTGTCATTTCTTAAATGGTTCTCAATGTTTAACGCTACATCATAAGATTCTAGTCTTGGAATGTATGTTTCGCTGGAATTGTCATTAGTGATTATGTAATTAGTGACTGCTTCATTGGTGACTGTATTATTAGTGACTGCGTCATTTGTTACAGATCCATAGGTTCCTTCGTTGTTATCAAAAGTGATGTTCTCATAGAGATTCAATGATCCGCATTCAGTGGAGTTTGAATCCAAATGATTTTCCTTAGTCTTGGAATCCTTGTTGATGACTAATTCTAACGGCAATACGATTGCTTCAGATGGTGATATTCTTATTTCACTTTGCTCTTCATTTGCGATGTGTGGCTCTTCTGTGTCATTAAAAATTTTATTATAAGACGAAAAGCATTACTTAAACCATAAAGTCAGAATTGAAAAAATCTGACAAGGGTAAAACTCAAAAGTTGTTTTGATCTTTTTTTCTAGTTGAATTTCTTCTCTCTTTAATGTAAAAAGAAAAAGAGAAAAGATGAATCAGGCAAAAAGCAATTAAAAAGCACAAGCGTTTTATTTAAATAATCCTGAATACCTTCTCTTTGAACACAGTGTTGGGTTTGACAGATCTTACAACCATGCTCCTCATACAGCAAGCACATTCGGCATTTGGTGTGGCCACAAGTATCTTTCACAAGTCTTGAAAAGGATGTGTTTGTAGGTTGTCCGCAATTTGGACATGTCTCATTTGTTGTAGTACACCTTCCTAATTCTTCGAGAAATATCATATTCCGTTTCTCTCCACAGCATGTACTCAAAACTTATAATACTTGCTTAAATAAATCTAAAAAAAAGATATAGTCATATCAAGTAATTTACACATGATAGAATGGCATATATGAATAGATATTACTCAAAGTAAAACAAAATTTATTTTATAGCAATGTCAACAGAATATTGTATTAATAAGAATGATATTGTTTCATGTTTTTTTAATTGTTACTAAGGATGATTTGATATAAACAGCTAATTATAAATACCATATATTAAGGTCCGGTTTCATAAACATAAGATTAACTTTAATCTCAGCTTACTTTACTATTTATCTTTATCTAATTCTTAGAATTAAGAAAAAGATAAATGGCAAGTTAAACCGAGATTAAAGTTGATCTTATATTTGTGGAACCGGCTTTTTATAGTTTTTCAATACTTTATTTATATATATTGACTTACATTTATATTTATATACGTGATGTATACAATTATATCAAATATTTTTTATTTACTAACTTAATTAACAACAAAAATCTACGTTCATTTACATATACTTTACTCCACTTCATTTCTTTAATTCTTTTTCCTTTAATCAGTGTTGCCAGATCATATTTTGAATATTTTCCCCTAATATAAATTTTAAAAAATCCCTAACCGCTAAAAAAAGAAATCTCTTAAATTTTCCTCTAAGAAAAAGTTCTTTAAAAAAGATAAAATTTAAAAGATGGTAAATAATAGGTCTCTTTTTATTCTTGTACTAAAATTATTTTTCTCCTTTTGCTAAATATCAAACACATACCAAAAGTTCATTCATAGAAAACGGAGTAATCGGTCATTGAAGGAGAAAACGGATATCTGAGTGCAAAAAGTACAAGCAACGCGAGCAGATCTAACGAGATAAATTTTGGAACTTAAAGTGAAACAACATATGTTTGATATTTGTTGAAAGAGAGCTAGTGCAGTTTAGTGCAGGAACAGAAAACAGACCATAAGTGTAAAAAGTGCAAACAGACCTCATGTCAAGTAGCGAGGCCTACGAAGTACATCAGACGCAAAATCTGTAGAAATTGCTGTGGCGTCTTAACCTCAATATGTTCAATGGGTATATATTATTATTTAAAATATTAAGAAAATTGTAGATAATATATTTAATTTCATCTTCATCTGTTTAGTGAGTGTTTTAGTAAAATTAATTGATTTGAGAGAAGAGAGAGAGATAATGTATCTGTATTTTCTATTGAGGTATTCTCTTGTAATCAGCAAAATGATTCAAGATAAATCCTGGAAATCAGAGTTTGATATTTGTTATAAACTAACATTAAAAAGAAGTTTGTACTTTTTAAATTTGAGTGTGAATCTGCGTATTACAAACAATTCATTTCAACAACCTTATATTCTTACGGAGTGATTTATTTTAACATTAATAGGCAAATATATTAAAAATATGCAATTTTATCAAAAAAAAACATTCCAAATATGAATGAAGAAGAAGAAAATAAAAATAAATATCACCGTGTATATTATAAAAAAAATTTCTATTACAATACTGTAATATATTGTAAATGTTTTAAAAAACAAAAATTATTTAATAGAGCTCTCAAAATTCAACAAATAAATATATTAATGTATGGCCATGTATATTAATGAAAGCATCAAAACAGCATGATAGTTAGAACATATTCACATAATATATTCTGAAATAATATTGTCTAAAATAAGATACAAACTTATTATCAATAAGTTTGTATCTACATTTTGAACAATAATGTTCAAGAATATATATTATGTGAATGCATTTTATTACAGTGTTGATTTTCTTATTGCCCATATATTGATATATTTATTATTTGATAAATGTTTTAGTTTCGATTATTTGTGTTAATTGAGAATAATATATCATGTAGATGCAAGAGGTTCTGTGCAAGTGGCTTGAAGCTACCTGCACAGATTGTGTCATCGAGATACACTGGTACGTTGTCCAAAACAGAAGCAAGGAAACAGAGAAATCAGCTTTTTGATGAGGAAAAGCGGAGACAACGATCAGAATTGGGTAGAATCAAGAAGATAGAAGTGAAATATAAATCGGCAGAAGAAGAAATTGTGATGGCAATGAATCAGAACATCTCTACACCGTACGACTGTGCTAGACACATTTCTGAAAGTGTCGCCAAGATGTCTGCTATTGCCTTGGTGAATAATCAAGTTTGGGACATGCACAAGCCATTTACAGGCGACTGTGAGTTGCAACTGGTGACCATGCAAAGCCCATTGATAAAAACAGTTAACTACGCCTTCTGGCGAACTTGCTCGTTTATCCTGGGTGCCATAGCAGATTCTGCATTCAAGGACAATGTAAATGTGCACTTGCACAGTTTTCCTGTGCCAAATATTACTTCCGGTAGCTTCATTTACGATGTATTTATTGATCTGCCAGATTGGCAGCCAACTGATTCTGAATTACGTGCTATGTCTGCACTCTTTGTCAAATTGAAGAATCAGGAATTGCTACTGGAAAGGTTGGAAGTGCCGTCTAGCGTTGCGCTGGATATGTTTCAGGTAAAGATGGAATAAAATCTGCACTTCATTTATTAATCATGAAAACTGAATATATTGTGGGATATTATTTTACAAAACTTATTAAGTTGTTCAGAAAGTTTGTTCAATTTTCTAGCTCAAAATTATATATATAACATCTTCGTAAAAAAATTAACGAATTTATTATTTTAAATATAAAAAAGGGATTTAAAATTTTGAAATCTCCACTTTCAAACTTACTATATTTTTACTATATTTTTTGAGTTTCTGTGTGAGTTTGGTAATTTTTACATATAAAAGAAACTACGAGCTAAAAAAGATAAAACATTTTTTTTTACTTTGTGGGTCTTTCATATACCCAAAACAAGTTTGCGAAAATTTTCGACTACATGAAACACCTACCGTAAAAGCTTGAAGTTTTCCTTACAAAATCGTTTTTTAAAATGTACTTACGATTTTTTGTTTCTAAATTATTCACGAGTTAAGTAAAAGAAAAAAAACATTCTGATTTTAATTGTTTATAACTCCGTTAAAAATTATTGTATCGCAATTAAGAAATCAGATTCTTCAAGCTAAAACTTTGCTGCATTGAATGTTATAATTGCTAACTTTTTAAATGTACAATATACTGTTTTGAGCTAGAAAATTTAATACAAACTTTCCGAACAACCTAACACTATTATCTTTAGAATTACTTCATAAGAGTTTAATCACATCTTTGCTTTCAGGATAATCCTTTCAAGTCCCAGCAAATACCCAATATTGTCAAAAAGAGCGACAATGATAGATTAACGTTGTATCGTATGGGAGATCATGTGGATATCAGCAAAGGTCCTATGGTAAGCAATAGCGACCTGATAGGACGCGTTACTGTATCGGCAATACACAAACTCACAAATGAGCCCGTGGATGGTCTATACCGCTTTCAAGGTATTGCCCTACCTAAAGGTATTCTGCTTAATCATTTCGCTTATGGTATCCTGGAAAAACGCGCTAAGAAATTGAACACCACTACGTGGCAATCTCATGAAGTAGAGGACGAAGCAGTCAGCATAACAGCGTCCATGAATTAAAAATACTTATTTCGTTATTTAAGAAAGTTTTCCTGTAAATAAATATAACATCTTTCAGTCACTTGGTTTTAAACATGTCATTCTTTTACTGCGTTCATATAGATTAAGGCTTTTATTCTTTAACAAAAGTTGTATTATATATATATATAAATATATATATATAAAATTGGACACGGTAGAGAAAATGTTTCAAACAAAAGTTTTGTGTGTGTTTTGTTTGAAACATTTTCCCTACCGTGTTTAATTTTTCGAGATATTCCAGTGTTTTGTCTTAGATGCCCCACATTGTATATAAATATATACAATATGTATATAAGTTTTTTACTACTAGGTTATGACGTTAGAAGCATAAATTTTTTAATATTTTTATTTGTAGTAAAATAGAAAATGTTTAAAAACTCCAATATTCGTATAAAATTTGCGACCATTTTATTTTATCTTCAGTTACATAACAATAAAAATCGGTCTAATCGCTAAATATTGTACATTAGATATAAGAATGTATACATAATTCACCGAAATTGCAAACGCTTCTTTCGAGGATCACATACCTCCCAGGTGAAGGTATCTGGTAGTCTATTGGTCTTGGACACCGCGCATTTTATACTTAGTTTCAGATACAATTCTTGATTCGAATTGGTGCAGCAGCTATCAAGACTATCAGTTTTCAGAGTCATCCTTGTCGCAAGTGGCGCTAATTCTGACGAACATCTAAATTAATAAAATCATGATTGACATAGTTTCTTTATCTTTTTTTATTTGCATTCGAAAGTAATATAAACTTTAAGCACTTAATTGAGAAACCATTTGTCGAATTGCTAATTTGCTCTATTATTTTACAGTAATGTTATCCATATCATGTAATGATTATTATACAGTACAATATTTTGGAAAAAGAAAATCTTAATCATTATTAAATGATTATTTTATAATATTATAATAATATAATAAATCAGAGATTAAATATTATTTTAATAGTATCTCTTCAATTTCAGATATTTTATTTTTCATTGTGGTTGATAATGAAGAACTTTACTTTCAAAAATCAGAAGAAAGTAGTTTCATTTTGCAATAATTATAGTTTAAAGAAAAACAAGATTTTAAGACAAATCGTTTATAGAGATGAATTACGATAGTTTCACAACTTTTTCTACTATTGTGACTTTTACAAATAATTTTTTTATTCTTAGTAAATTACCTTAATTGGATTCCAATGACCAAGTCGAAGCAAGGCGGCCTGTTAGTTTCCTCTTCGATTTCTCCGCCGGTGTTTTCCGCGTTACTAATCCTGATGTACTTAAATCTATTCTCGTAAGCGAATTTGCTCATATTACCATAATAAAAGAACTGTCCGCCGTATTCGCCGTATCCTGAATACGTGGAGGCTGGTGGCAGTCTTCGGGATGCTAACGATGGTGCCTGAAAATGACGAGAATCTCAATTGGCAAAAAATATATGCATTTTTACTATATATCGAATAAACAAGATTTTTATTAAATTAATAAACATCTATATAAAAACTAATAATTTTTTACAATAAATTATTTGCAGGTTTCTAAAATGCTTTGGTATCATTATTAAAATTGTTAATCAATTTAATTTAGAATATTATTTTAGTTTTAGTTTGTGATTTTTAAATCAGACAAACCAAATTGGCATGCAGTTCATAAAAACATGTATTTGCAAAAAATTTGTATATTATTAGTATCTTTAAGCTGATCCGAAAAATAGGATTGTTTCTTTTAATTGGTTTGTAACATTTTTCGCTTTTAACAGATGCTGTCTAATTAAAAAGCTGTTCAGTGACTAGTTAAATTTTACGGACCGTCGCTCGAAGAATGAGCTTACGCTCATAGTGCAGTTTATGAAACAGATGCTTGTTGTAGCTGCCAACCAGTCGACGTAATCTCAAGTACATATATCGCTGTTTGTCCCGCCAGCAATACTCGTTATTTGCATTAGGCACCCGCAAACACGTGAACCATGCGCGTCTTAAGACGTATTTGAGATGCATGCTGACCTAGAAATTAAATAGATTGATTTGAACCATATTTTATATCGCTCCTTTATTCCAAAAGTAAACAAGCATCTGTTCCATATTATTATCCGGGTATTAATTATTAGTGTATTAATTATCCGGGAATAATTTGGCTTTTTTTTTTAAATTGACACAATTAAAAGAATTAAGTTTTCTAGAGAAGAGGAAAAATTGGATAGAAAATTATTGATTATATATAATCAAACTTTTATTTTAAAAAAAAGTATATCTAATGTTATTTTTGTCAATTTCATTTCACAAAAACTATTCTTAAAAACTACCTTTTTTTAGTAGATTTTTTTAGTCATTCTTTTTGAGTTAGAGTGATTTTGACAATTTTTTATAAAAGTAATTTATTTTTAATGATTAAAAGGATATATAATGTTAACTCATTTATGATAATAATTTGAAACCTGGTAATAACTTGATTCCCTTAGATAATCAAATTTTGAAAATTTAGATTGCTCTTTATGGAGAAATTCTTAGAAATGTTGAAAATTTTGAATGTTTATTCTTGAATTTAAAAAGTTTTCTTAGAATTAGAAATATTGTTATATTTCAAATTAAAATATCAGAGAAAAATTCTTAAAAATACAATTTTTCTCTCAAGTCTTTTATAAAACAGAGATTTTTTATATAAGTTTTGTAAATGTAAAAGAAACAATATGTAGGGTGTTCGGAAATAAGTTTTTGAGTTATGGCCACTTTTATGTTAAAAAAAATGTAAAATATATAAAATTATAAATATAAATTATTAAATTATTTCATAGCGTTTTAACTTTTTTAATATGAAACACTATAGTATAAAACATTATAAAACACTTCGATATAAAACACTATGAAATAAATTATGATTACGAAAAATAAATTACGATTTTTTCCCTTTTTTTTGGGTTCCGAATCACTTCCCGAAGTATTGCAGGCGATTTTTCAGACATCCTGTATGTCGTTGAAACATTCAAGATTTTCACGATATTCAATACATTCAAAAAACTTGTGAAATTTTTAAAAACATTAAAATTCAAATTTTTTTTAGTTTTAGATAATCCTATTCGAATTTTGTAATAAAAATGTCAAAATGTTTAACGTATTCTGTTCATCACATCTTCAAAAATATTGACTCTTTACCATGGGATTGTCTGTTCTTGATGAAATTCTAAAGGATAACACCTGCCGACCCTCTTCTAGACAGTCCAGAACGTCGACTATCTTACATCCCGAAACCAGCGCAGATCTATTGACGATTTGTCTTTACTGATCATTGTTTAAATGAACGTGAGCGATAGCTATTCGATCGAAGATTGTTGATTCATTAATTGATCGCTAATAAATGACTATGAAATAAATTACGAAATGATTACGAAAAATAAATTACGATTTTTTTCTTTTTTTGGGTCCCGAATCAAAATTAAATGATGAGATTACCCCGATGAAATGGCGAAAATAAGAGGATGTTACCCATTTATTTTGCGTTCAGTAACTTTTTCGAAATGATCCATGAAATTCTCGCAAGTGCGCATAAAGATCTGCAGGTCGTTGTAACTAAAGACGCATGACTCTTGGCAAGGATTGAAGACCGTCCGCAGCAAGCAATTGAGACTGTCGAGGATTCTACCGCCGTAGAAGCAAGAGATGGATAAGTCACGCGACCTATTTAACGTGAATAAAATATATATAGGCAAGGAAGTATTTTTTTAAAATCCTTTTTTTTTACATGTTTACGTAATATTAGCACAATCCTCTCTCTTAAAATTAATGCCCATTCAGCGAAAAAAAAATATTTTAAATCAAAGGAGAATATCTGAATAAAAATCAATCATTTATTACTATACATTGATATCCTATGATACATTAATTATGTTAAAGATTTTTTTATCTTATACACGCATGTTTTAATTTTCACAGAAAATTAAAAAAAATATTTAGACCACAGGGAGAGAGAGAGAGAAAATACGATATATAGCGCTGATATACAAAAAATCTGAAATATATTTTTAAAGTATAAGAGCAAGAGAAAATATTAAATATGAGCAATTTCTTAAAGTTAATAAATTAGGAAACACAGATTTAAATGGAGAGATTTAAAAATTAATCCACAATAATCTTAAATAAATTAACGGGATTTTATAACCACACAGAAATGATCTAACATAAATTTATCCAATATTGTAATTTTTATTATATTTTACTATTATTGCTATTATTGAAGAAAGTTTAAAGTTAGAAACCTTGTATGAGTATATCGCCATGTTACTGCTTTCAGCATTCGATATTGAGACCGAATAAGTTCCAGTGCGTTAAAAATTTTGTTACACTCTACTAACTCTGTGTTAGTCTTTACGTTGTTCATAAGATCTTCTGTGCGCTTTATCGCAATCTCAAGCTTGGTGCCAGCCACTAGAAATTCGCTGTTCAATACCGTGGCAGCAACGTCGTAGCAGCGTCTGTTTAAGAAGGATTAAGGAAAAAATAAGAAAGTGAACTTTATACTTCGTAGTAAAATATAAAGTGTTAGAGAAAGCTGAAATTTAAAAGATTAATTTTAATGTAAACAAAATTTACAATTTTCAACAAGGAATCTCGAAATTTTCTTTTAAATCTGAAGGTTTTGAAGTTGACAAATTTAAAAGGCTTAGTTTTTAAACACTACATTCTTTCTACGACTTTCAATTTTATATAAAATTTAAGATTCCAAAGAAATATAACTGAAATATATTTAGAATCACAGAGTTATGTAGCGGCGATACAAAAACTATATGTACGATATGTACTAATACATTCTGGAATATTAATAAAATAATCTCTAAGTATAAAAGAAATTAAAAAAAATTTATCCATTTAAACAATGTATTTTCTAAATATTCAAGACTTTTTACATTCATAATCCTTTTTTTTTATTTATTATATAATATATTTCAAAAATTAATAGTAAATCAAATAATTAATTAAAATAAATATATATGTCTTTCTTCGCTAAAATTCTTATATAATAATTATTCTGGTAATTTTTAAAACTGTCTTTAGTTTGGCAAAATTGGCAGAGATCTACCTGGAGACCAGACGAACGGTGCAAGCTACATCATGCAATGGCAGCATTTTCAGGATAATACTTAGGATTTCCGGCGGTAAATTATCCAACGTGTATCCAACATTCTTACATCCTCGTGCGTTTTGTCTGCATCGTGAGAATACTCTCCGCCGTTTCGCGCCCATTTGACTCCTTTTGGATTTCGTCCTTGCTCGCGATCGTAAGCAATCACAACCGATCGCGATCAATCATGAAAATCACGTGCGTCCTTGCATACCGATAAGATTTTTTCGGTTATAGGATTGGAATTCTCGAAATTTTGCAAGAATCTTTAGAGGAGTGAGAACTCTCTAATTTGCACGAAACAAAAGAATCTTATATCATATTTTCTTTCATAGTGATAACTTCAGTCTGAAGACAACCGAAAAGCTATGATCTATCTATATAATTGAAATAAAGTATAATATACATCTTCGATACAAATATTACAAGTCTAAAAAGAATATATATAATCTTTTAAATTTTTCTATATTTTTACAAAATATCGTAATGAAATTCACGATTCTTATCATACTGCTGTATTAATGTAATTATCTTAAATTATCTTTAAATTAGTTTTTCTTTAATTAATAATTTTTTGAATTATCTTACAATAAACGTCTCAAGCTTTTTTTTTTAATATAAACGTCTCGATATTATTTTCAAAATCTGTTTCTGAAATAAATGATTAGTATGTAATTAGATATACTGTTTTTCTTTTAAAAAATTTATATAAAATAAATGTAGAGATCAAGGAATAAAGTGAATACAAGAGGTTCAAGATTTATTTTTTTAATATATTTCTCATAAAGTATAGAATAATAAATTGAATATAATTAGCATAATGTTCACATGATTTTGATTTGTCAATCATTAAAGTCAATTAACTTCTTGTTATTCAATTTGAAAAAGTTCTTTAAACATATTACTTCCTGAACGTTAAGTAACTTTGGAAATCTTTAAAATAAATTTCGCTTCATTATAATCTTCAGAATTTTAAAGATCTAAAGAATGGACACTTTTTCAAAAATCTAAACGCAAGATATTATCGATCCAAAATTTCATAAGTTTAAAATTTCAAGAATTTCCGATTTCAAAAGATTGAAAATTGTAATTTTTAAGAAATTTTATCTTTCAAGTATTTAGAAGATTTAAAGTAAGGATTCAATTTTCCAAATATTCACAGTTTTAAGGAATCCTTCTTCTAAATAATCAAAATTCCAAGGATCGAAACTTTCAAACAAAGTTCCAAAAAGCCGAAGTACAAAAAGCCCAAGGTTCCAAGAATGTAATGTTCTAATCTGGATTGATCCGAAAAAGTTCCAAGGAATTAAACTCTTACAATTAGTTGAACATGAAGGATCCATAGTAATCTTTTTTTAGATGACAAAGGCCTCTTCGATTCTTCTTATGTACCAAAATTTACTGGCATTAACAAAGTAAATTTGGCCTGATCAATGTTTGTTTCTTCAGCCGCGCATGGTCCAATGCTATCTAACAAACTTTGTATTGCGTTCTGATTACTTGGATGCTTCCTCTTGGTATGTTCGCGACGATGCTTGAGCTCTTTGAATGTTTTACCGCATTGTTCACAGGAATACGGCCTGGCAGCCTCATGTGAACGCAGATGGCCCTCATAGTGGCTCTTTCTGACGAATTTCTTACCACATAGACCACAATCATACTGGAAACGGCCTTCGTGAGCGGCTACGTGCGAGCTCAAAGTCCACTTGGTTTTGAAAGTCTTTGAACAGTATTCGCACCTAATCTTCGAATCGTTTTTATCTGTCCTTCTAGAATCCTTTTTTATCAACAACATCTCTTCCAGAAGAAAGTCATCCTCATTTTTTACAATTGTTGCGGACTTATCTATAATTGCTTGAACCTGCAGTGTTCTATTATGTTCCTCTTGCTTCAAGTGAATGTTCTTTGGCGTTATCTAGACAAATAATAATACATAATTATTTATATATAATTTGAGAAACAAATTCAATATACAAAATATAAACATTTCATTCTTATTTTTTTTGTTAAAAATTTGTTTTAATTGTTTCCATTATTGCTTTAATTATACACAAAGATCTATGAAGATTATTTTCTCCGAAATTAAAAGGCGCATGTGCAAGAATTTGTTTAAAAATTAGAAGAACGTTAAATAAATCGTACTTTGCCATGTGAGATCAGATGGGTTCTGAGTTTATCCTCATCATTGTACCTCTTCGGACATCGTGGGCAGGGATATCCGCTCTTGTTTTCCGTATCGCGCAGGAGAGCGTTTTGTAAAGTCGCATCGCTTGTTGCGTTTTCGACATCGACTTTTTGTTCAATTTGCTGCAGCTTTTCCTTGCGCATTGCGTGCCGAGCTATATGCCGCTTCAAATCGTGCAATCTAGAAAACGCTCGTCCATATCGCATACATGTAGGAAAGGGACAGCCTTTTCCACATGTCCTGTTCTTCGGACTGAAAGAAAAAAAAAGCATGTGTTTAAATTTTCTAATCCTAAATTCCTAAATATTCTTGAAGACAAACATTATAATATAAGCACAATTATTCATTAATCTTAATTAAAAATATAAAAGTTACAATTGACTTTAAATAAAAAATTGTTGGAATGGAGCTAAGAGAGAGAAAGATATTGAAAAAATTCTAAAAGAGGATGTAATAATTCGAAGAAACTGAAAATTTGGTTATTAAGAAATTTAAAAGTTAATAAAACTAAACTTATGTACCAAAAATATTCTTATTACAGCAGAAATAAAAATGTACTCGAGTTGATTAGGCTGCTGTGCGCCAATAAGAGGCTGCTGTGCGCCAATAAGAGGCTGCTGTGCGCCAATATATATATATATATATATATATATACTTTTCAGATTATATAGAGATAATTCTAAAGAATTCACAGATTGTGAAAGAATCTAAGGAAAAGTTCTTTGTTTCCTGTACCTTCGAGGAGGATTGACAATTACTGGAACTGCCCTTTTTGTATCACTGCCGAAATCCTTACTATTCTTATCGACTTTCTGACTAGCCATTGTGGTCAGTTGTGCTGATAACGGTATCACGATGGAAATAGTTTCATTGGACCCTGGTGTGATGATAGGCCCAACGTGAATCGACGGCGGCGTTGCCAACGATATACCGTTTTCGTTACTCCTACTCATGTCGATTTCGTCCAGGAAGAGTATTTATTAAGATCGAATCTATGCATATATAACATAAAACAATTATATTAATAAATTATATTATAATAATTATAATAATTAATGTATACATTATATCATACACTAATTCCAAGATTTTGCTATGACTCACTGTACACAGATGTTACAATTATTGTATAATGTAGAAATCTTGTTTCTGAAATTATTACTACTACTATTACTACTACTATTATTATTATTATTATTATTATTATTATTATTAATGAATTATTAATCACATAAACATGAAATATTAATTTGGAAGATAAGATAAACGGAGAAGTTAGAAAGTTTAATTAGAGATAAATTAAAGAGACTGTTGCATAAATGATAACAGTTTCTTACTTTTGTTATTAAATGTTTATTTAATTAGTGAGACACATATTAGAACGATTAAAAAACATCTACTTACAATGTAATTTGTTAAAAGTTCGGATATAATTTAGATTATAATAATTAAAATTATGATTTTATAATTATTGAATAAAAAATGTATAAATAAAATATACATGTATAGTAAAGCATAAGCATGTGTGTATACGCACACACGCACGCACACATGTGTATATATGCTTATGTGTATTTATTTGTTACAAATTTTAGAGACAGTAAAGAATAAATATAAATGTGTGTGCGATTATTATATTATTATTAAATATATACATTTATTAACGAGTGCACTTACTAAAACATTTTAGTAAAGACACGCTAATTGGTATAAATTCTTCGCATATCTTGTTAACAAATGCCTCGTTAATTGAATGTCATGTATACAATTTGATTTTATTTAACTATCTAAGCTAAAGGAATAAAAATATATAATATATAATGTAACTTTGTTTACACATTATCCGAAATTAATATTGTACAAAATATTAATTGTCTCGAAAATAAATAAAAAAGTTATCCAATGCATAAAAAACAAGTATTCTTATTTAATAAAATATAAAATTTTTTAATTTATATTTCCTATAAATAAAATATATAAAAATATTATTTTATTTTTAACACTTTAAAACAGAATTATATATTCTAAAAGTATTAATAATTTTATGTGTCCCACTTTTACTAAAAACCTGTAGATATATATATATATATACTTATATGTATACATGTTATACCTACTAATTTCAAGTTTTTGCTGTAACACACTGTATACAGATGTATATACATATATACATTCCACGAATTTCAGAAGGGTAGCGTAAACCGCGATCGATGGGAGGTCGCCTGTCGCGTATCATCATTCTATCGCTTCCATGGAAAACAAAAAAAAATCAAGAATCGGAACTATATAATTTTGGATTTTCTACGCACAGAAATCTTTACATTTATTCATGACAAATCGAAATACGATGTTTCATTTAAAGCGCATCTGATACACGGAAATTTGAATCCATCGAAGACAGATATACATCTGGTTTCAATGCCGGAGGCGACATAGAATGCAAAAGCTTCGCCAACAAACGTAACGATCGAGGCATCCTCGTGAGAGCTTATTATTGTTACTTAATTATTGTTAGAAAATAAGTGCTTTCCAGCAGAAGCTAGATGACGCAGTGTAAAATGGTTGCGTTCAACACAAAAAAAACAGCTTTGCAGTTGTTGTAAAATGTTTGAATATGACTGTTTATACATTTAAATCCAATAAGGAAATAAGAACAAAATCAATCATATTAATCAGAATTAAAATTTTACAATAGTTGCAAAGCTGCTTTTTCTGCTGATCGCAGCCAATTATTCCATCTTCGTTTAACATTAGCAAACGCCAAGGATGTAATTTTTCAAAAATGAGTATATAATCAAAGTGGAATTGTCTCTTGTTGGAAAGCAAATATTCTTCTTTACTTTATGACACCTGTCTTCTTGAAATAGGGCTGTTACTTTTGACTGATTTCGAAGATTCACATTTTTTCGAAACTCCGAAGTTATTTTGAGGTTTCAATTGCTTCAGAAGCCTTCAAAAAGTACATTCGTTCGAATGATGACGAATTTATTCAGGAAATGCTAAAAATATTGTAACCAAAAGAATTAATCGAAACATATATATTGAAAAAAATATAAGATTTTAAAATAATTTTTAGAAGTATATTATAATCTGAAATATTATATATTAATAATAATT